CTCGCGGTTGGCAAGGCACACGGTGACCATCGCAATACTACAGTATTGTTCTGTATACACACAGAACTGTTAGAGAGTAATAGGCCCACCGACTATCGCCCGAGGGAAGCACTTCGAAACGTAATGGCAGTTCTCTGCCGTTCTACTAAAATCACTGTAATTACTCCATAAATTTTAACAGCCTTACGAGCAGCCAAGTCGAACTTAGCGAGTGCACTCGTCCGCGACATTCTGTACGACCGTGCCGAGGAGCGTATCGACTTTTGCATCTCCACGTCAGTTCGGTAAAAGCAGCCGAAAACCTCGCAAACCACCTAACTGTGCTTCATACTCATTTCTTTCCGAGCAGAAACATATTTTCATTGTCATAACAGCTCGCGAGACTTTCTACTTCTACCGCTATACTTATCACCTTGTATCTTGTCCAACTGTCTTTGCAATACTGTTCGAAGGTACACGGCGAGCAATAAAATTTCCCAGCAATTACTGTATTACTACCAATCGTAAATACAAATTAATAACGAGTTGAAAGAAAAGAATCTCAAGCAGAACGAGTGTAACTGTCTTTTCCGCGTTGTGTTTGTGTTCGATGTTATTTCAGAGACGAGGACATTGTCGTCGCACGTGAAAACGAGCCACGAAAACAGGAGTCTTAGTATTACTGATTAGACGTCCAATTGAACAATTAAAGAACTACAGGCGGTAGTCGTAAGGAGCACAATAAATTAACGTCTACTGTAATTGCGTAATGATAATTAAGATATCACGATCACTGTGAACCCGTATCCAAAAAGAGATTACGAGGTTAATGCTGACTTTGAATTATGACTGCAGAGAAGGACGAGCAGGTTTAATGGAAGGAGACGAAGAAAAAGGTCGAGCAACAAATGACCGACATTGTCTCCCAGAGTGAAGGTATCAAGCGGCAACTCGAAGAAAATGACGGGTAGAGAATCGCTCGAGCAGAAAGAGAGGCGTTGCCAGTACGCAAAAGACTGCTGCGCGCTGGCTGTATGGAAAAATCGACTTTATCTACGTTCGTCGTCGGACTCGTTCGCCGTGCCGCGACGCCCGCGTTCAACTCTCGACGTAAGTGAAATTAAAATAACCGTAATGGCAACGGACCCAGTCGCCCAAGTTTATAAATTATTCAGTGAGTTGCAGTGGAGCGCGATTTTAACTTTACAAGAAAGAAGTGTATCTCGTGTGAAGCCACGAGGAATCTTTGTTGGTGCACTTGGAGAATTGCGTTAAATGGTAAGGGACGAAGAGGAAGGGGAAAAAGAAACAGTGTGCTGCCCGGTAAGCGTAATTACGTATCTATCGACCGAGTGCAAGTGCGTGTCCGCGTTAACGCAATGCGTGCGTGCATTTGCGATGCATTTATTCGCACTTCCACCTAAACTTTCATTCCTTTCGAACGGTCGAATTCTCGGGAATCTCGGTGCATAACGTTACACCCCCACCGACTGTAATTTTGCCTGAATCAAGGACTTCATTAATATTCGCACTGGTTTTTCTACACTGAAGAAATACAGAGAAATGCATTCTGGTGTTTGCTCGAGGAATTCAAAAATATTACCAATCAGCATCGAGTGTATGACTTTCTAAAAAGATTTTTTTTTTTTTTTTTTTTTTTTAAAATTTTCAAGGACTTCATTAATATTCGCACTGGTTTTTCTACACTGAAGAAATACAGAGAAATGCATTCTGGTGTTTGCTCGAGGAATTCAAAAATATTACCAATCAGCATCGAGTGTATGACTTTCTAAAAAGATTTTTTTTTTTTTTTTTTTTTTTTCCGAAATTTCAATATCTTTTGCTTATCGACGTTTCTAAATTGAATCCTTTATTCTTCTTTCCATCGTCGATTTTTATACTCGGTTTTTCTACGTGCCAGTCCTTCAACGATTCCTCGAAATAACTACGGGACTGATTATTTCTTCGGTGTAGTTCGGGTGAGTGACTTAACGGAAAAACCGAACACGAGTGTACGAGCGTGAAAGCAGTAGTGTAGCGGTATAGAGATATTTACCGTAACACAACCATATACACAATACATGAACCAAAACTGGGATGGATAGAGGACCAATGCGATAACTCAAAAGTTTACTCAAAAATCTAAAGACATGCTTTTCTAATAGATCCTCTAATCACCTGGTACACATGGAACGTAGATAATCATTGCAACAGTGAAGTACTTAGATATCGGGAATAATAAAAAATGGGATTTTAAAAAAAAAACGAAAATCCAAAAATATTCTTGCGACATTAACCGTTAGATAAATCAGCTATCACCTGCATCTTTATTCCACGTGCATAACAGTGAGTTGCATACCAGCTGCATTTCTCAGTAATACGTTACGTATTGGGTACGTAGTGCAATGCATGCGAGTCTTCACGTTGCGATATAAAGAGATGAAATTGGAATGCTCACGCTCGTAATCAAGTCGTCACGTCTCGTTAAGAATCTCTCTTACATTGATATTTTAATTAATCGTCTCCGAGATTACGTCTTTACGATTGATCCAATATCAGAAGATTTTACCGAACACAAGTCTCTTGGCAAAGGAACGGAATTCCTGTAATGTCGCACGTATGCATTTTCACGTCAGCTAAATTAAATAGTACAAGCACAGGTAGTACGTACTTACGTACATGCTTACTGTTCCGTGTGGTGCGTAACACGGTTTGTCAGCTTCGGTTGAAATTCAGTGTCTCGCAAACTGCATAATTGTAACCGTTTCGTTTAATGATACGTCATGAGGGTGGGACAGCGTGTTATTACGCATTTGCGTTTCGTGCACTTTGCATAATTTAAAAGATCCTTGCGTTTTACGCAATCGCAAGGAATGTACGACACGAGAAGAGAGAAATGGTCAGCCGGCAACAAAAGTTTGAATTTACCGCCTTCAACGAGACTTTTATCCAGACCTCGTCATCATTAATACGTCAAACGGACGTTCATCGTTTAACCATAATTATACACGCACAATCCCTGCAGCGGTATTCCTCAATTTGATGTAACTTGTATTTAATGGTAATTATAATTATATCTATATGCAGATACATGCATTCAATTGGGTCACGAGTTCGAAGCTGTCTATCGGTTAAGATTATGCAACGGTGCGAACAAAAATGAAGACAATATATCTGCATGTTATATATTTTTAGTGCGCAAGCATGCACAAGCGTGGGTCCTGGCACCATAACCGATCGAATCTCGATCGAGGTCCAGAAATTCTGTTGGACAGAGCGATTTGCAAATTTCTCTGATGCTATCTCGATATTTTCGAAACGAGAGTGTAAAAAAGCGACGACGACTAATCTATCGTCAAGGAGAAAGACGATGCCGCGCGTTATAGATCGAAAGTCGGTCACGCTACGAGGCATTATTGCTCGTCGCTTCGAGCCGGGAGCGAGAAATTACGGTGATTCGTCGATTCGATTTCTTGATATGTCGAAGCGCACGAAGAACGAGGAACGCTCGAACGTAGAGGCTCTTGCATATACGAATACGTGGTACATGTGTGAACATACATACCTGGAAGAACGAGGCCGTTGATTTTCACTTGTTGCGCGTATCGGAGCATCATCCTCGAATTCCAAAGAATACACGAGGGATAATACTCGTCGTTCCATTGATTTCAGTAAGTACAGGTCAATTTGTCATTAGGTTGCTGATACCGATTTGCCCTTTACAAACGAGTTTATTGAATTCCATAAAGGTCCACAATGTTTTCGTTATTGACATACCCGCTGCTCATCATGATAATCATTCTCATTACCATAGTTCACAACCCCGTCTGTTCTTCAAACCACGTAAGCATTATGTTGCGATGCCACTGAGAGTGGTCGCGACAGCAGTCATTCGTATGGTCTCTGGTCCTACAGTGAGTCAAGGAAGTCGGAATGGTATATCTGAGATTTGATTCCATAGTTCGTCAAAACACGGAAAAGTGAAATTTGTATCTTTTTATCTTATCTTTTCGATAAATATTTTTTCTAGTGAAAAAAAAAAACATAATAGAGTTACGTAATATTTTTCATATTTTATATAAAGTGGTTCGATGGATTCATTGATATACTTGGAGGAAAAAGATACAATTTTTTTTCACTCGACTACAGATTATCTCTCAAAAAGGCACTTTTGGCATCTAATGATAGGCCATGACAAGGTAGGCCGTAGGTCGGTACAGCTCGCTCGCAATTACCAATTTCACGCATTCACCTGGCCAGTATGCCCACGCACGTATGTAGAATTCTAGCGTGCATCGAACATATAACACAGGTGCGAAAGGCGATCAAAATGTCAGGTCGTCGATGACGCAGCAAAGAAAGCACGACCCTGTCGGTGATCGAATTCATATACAACAAAAGTCTCGCCTCTTCTCTATAAGATGATATAAAAAAAAAAGCAGACGACATTCCGTTCGGGTACTATAGTTACGAAACTGCACATGTCCCAAGTGACTATAGTGACATTCCACAACGTAAAACAGAGACAAACGAACCCTAACGGACAGCAGGATCGTCTGGCTTCTTAGGACATGGCAAGGTAAGGTCCATCGACCTCAAACCGGCTAAGGAGGCTCCGTGGCATCGTAAATACCTGAATACGTATCGCGCAAGTATAGAGAGAGGCGTGCACCAGTTCAAATCAAAACTATTAGAATGCAAGGTTTTCCACGAGGCATTTTAAGGTTCGAGAACTTTTATATAGGCAAGTATACCCACCAGGTATAATATAATACCGGGTGAATAAGTAAGAACGAGTAGCTAAGCTTATTCCAAGTACCGTCAAAAATGCGTTGAAAAATGCCACAATAGCCAAGAGGCAGAGCGGAGCAGGCCAAACCGGCTGACAACGCTGTCGGTGGAAGCCAAGCGGCTTCTGGTAGTGCGAGGGTGGGGATTGGTTGCTGAGGCAGAGTGGAGGGGAGGAAGTAGAGGAGGGGGTTCCCCGCGACAAGTAGTAGTTTACAGTTATAGTCAGTCCGCATCGGGTGCTTGGTCAGCCGAGACCTACTCGCGTGTAGTAGGTAGGTTCCATACACACCGGTGACAGCACGGGCCTCGCGAATTGTGCGAAATTCTAAGAAAAACAGTGAAGTTTTGATTGACACGTGGCACTGTTCTACAACGGAGGTGTACGAAAAGCTAGAGAGAAAAAGTATGAAGCGTCGCGTTGCCTTGACGTGAACGCAGCGTGAAAAACTTATCGTTAGCGAATTCGGACTCGCATAACTTCGCGGCCTACGCTCGATTAACGGTACGTGGATAAACGACTGTTCGTTTTGCTTGCGATAGCGAGAGGCAATTCATTCCGCACTTTCACGAAAGCAACGCGACTTCACGTAAAACTCATGATCGTGCATTTCGTTTCCTGTTCAATTTCTCTTGCTCTTTTTCATCAATCCTTTTTCTCTATTTCTCTCTCTCTCTCTCTCTCCCCCCGCCTGACTCGTTAATTTCTACATATTTCGCTGACTAGTAATATTTATAATGTCAACAAGTTTTGTTACCACGTGAAATATAAAAATTAATCTGATAACCCGCCGATAGCATTCGCGGTCACGAATCTTCAATGTATTCATATACGAAAAACAGTTGGTGCACACGATGAAGTTGTTTGTCTTAAGCGAATTGGCAACGAATCGTTTCTCGTAAAGTTTCTTTTTTTTTTCTATCACTAATTAAAATTACATATAATCATTATCAGTCATACTTTGCCCAAAAGAAGACACGAACTCATATCATGACTAATGTCAAACGTCTCACCGAGTCTCATTAAAATTTCCTAAACGCGTCTCTCGCAACGACTAACGAGGGTTAAAAGGAACGATCGTCAATATAAACTCGAGTTTCGATTAATTGGCGCAGCGTCCCAGTTTACCCAGTTTTCCTTCCATTCATGAACTTGTAGGTGCAACGCGTACAAAGCCCATAGAAATTCACGGCGCATGCTCCCACGTAGCATTAAATACACCTCGGCTACAAATTACGCAATTTTCTTCATCGTTAAATGTAACTCGAACATCGAACGAGTACAATTACGTGACAGATTTGTTAAAAAAAAAAAAAAAAAAAAAAAAAAAAATAACCGAAAAAGAAAAGAAAATACAATTTTGTTCACTCCAATCTTTGAAATATCCTAAAACGCGAGTATTCAACGCACGTGGATGAGTTGCGGGCTCGTGCGACAGTTAAATAAACAATTTTATGCGACTACGCTTAGCAGAGCGAAACGAGGAAGAAGGCGTGAGAGTGTACTCTAACTCGGAATTAATAATTTTCAAATGAGCCACCATTCCTCGCACGGCATAACGGGATCAAGATAAAAAAACGGACGTCATGAATACCGGAGCCAATCGTGGTCGCGCTATTTATTTAGACACTTGAAAAAAGTTGGACTCGAGAGGAATCTACGATTCGCCAGAGAGTTTTCTTTCCATTCATGAATCGAGATCATTGACGGACGTATGTATACACGAAGACTTTAATTGAGTCAAACGTCACAAAGCATGAATCACTCGCTAGACTTTCCTTTCGGAACATATTACATGTATACATGCGTTATATGTATATACAAACGCGCCTATGACCGCGTTACGCGAGCATCATTTGTAAATTCGTCCCCAGACCGTCCCTCCTGACGCAGACACGGACGCAGTACACCGCCGAATCTAATCGTACCTAATGTAAATCGTATCTAATCTAAATATCAAACAGAGTGAACCCAAAATATTTTGTCGCATCTCCAGTTCACTTTTGTCACGTTCTATTTGGTTAATCTAATAAATAGTTTCATTGGACAGATACTACGGATTCTGAAACTGACAGCGTCGAGAGCACCGTTTAATAGAAATTCGACGTGCTTTTGACGTTGACAGTTCTTTCTGAAACGCACGTTATATGTACTCTTGTGCCGCGTATAGGACGCTCACGGAAAAGCTAGCGGAATTCATGAAAGTGCTATATCGACGCGTTTACATCCGCCTGGAAAAAAAAGTCTTGTTACCATTTATCGCGATTGAATAATAGGAGATTACAATCTACGTGATATCAATCTGAACGTTTTGGTGTATGAATGTAAAATTCGTGAAATAATATCGTTATCGTTATCGCCGTGAAAACTTGCTGCCGCTTTAATTTTGAGAATGGGTGTTGCATCATATCTCCTGATCATAAAGTTATATATATATATATATATATATATATATATATATATATATATGCCTGTGCGCATAGAAAAAAAATTTTAAAAACAGGTCGAGAGATGATGGACGGGTGAGTCCGTGAGAGCTTTAGTCTTATGAGCATAAGAAAAAGGGTCGGAGAAAAGAGATAAAAAAGTTGAATAAGACACGCAATGACCATACGAAGGAACTTATAAAGAGAAAGGTGAAATTTTTACAGATAGTGCCTTATTGAGTGGAAAGTACAACAGGATAGACGTCAAACTGGGAGGATATCGAGAGGATTCGAAAAAGAAGACAGACGCAGTCCAGTTGCAGCTGAGATGCAGCCAATCTCATCGTTAGGACGCAAGCAGATATTTAGCAGGATAAAGAGAAGAATGTGTGTTCTAAAGTGAAAGTTTTTTTTCCTTCGTTGCGGAAAATATCGCAGAGAAAACTCGCTGGGACGAGAAACTTGAACGGAAAAACGAGAGTGCTGAGAACTGTGATGAAAGGTCCGTTGAAGCTAAGAGCATGTAAAGAAGACGTTAAAAATAAATAAAAAAAGTGTTAAGTGTTGAAAACGAAATTAGACGAATTTTCTATTCAAGTCGAGGTCGAAGTCAAGAAACTGAAGAGTTTTACAACGAGTGATCGACCTGTGTAGAAACCACATCAGTAGAAAATCTATTCCGTAATCATTTTATCTGCATAGCAGCAGACACCAGCGGGGTCGAGGAAACGTGTTGTTATTGTTTGTTTTTGTAAAAATATTTTTAAATATTACAAAGACTCTGGTGAATCTACGAAAAATCAGAGACTTTGGCAAGTATTTTCAACGGACCGGATACGAGATTGGATATAAATAGTGGGGCGACATTAATCAAGTTAATTGACACTATCGACTATTTGTCAGTATCTTGAGTGAAAGCTAACACTGGCGTTACAAAAACAATAGCAGATTCATCAATCTGCTAAATCCGTCCGGTTGAGCTTCGCAAAGGTAAATAATACATTTAATCTCCCTTTAGTACAAACTAATCTGACAACATGTGCTTGCATGTGAAAAAATATTGCCGTAACATAACAATTATTAATTTCCAAAACATTTATACCAGTAAATCATAGGCTACAATAATGTAGTTCAGTGAAATGTAAATACAGTAAAATGTGGCTTTGAATAGAGCACAATAATAGCACCCAGGTTTTTCTCTTAGAGCAACATATGATTATAGCACTCACCTAGTCTGCACTATAACTACGCATTCCAAACGCACGTTGTCAGAGTCATTCTAATAATTAATTAGCAAGTACTTATACGTGGACAGAGTAATTAATAATAAGCAGCTTTATAGTTTATTAATCGTGTCGTTACTTTCTATAAGCCGCCCGGTCACTCGATAGTTCGCGACAGCCATTCGATCATTTATCGTTTTTATAGTATATACATAAGTAGACAGAATTATATATACATATATATACATAGTACCTAATATTTAATATACGTATATGTATATACGCATACATATATATATTTTTTAAAAAGAGCAGTTCTTAGGACTTTTTGTCTTGAATATTGGCAGTTATGGGCCTAACAGCATCTTGATACGTAAGGTATACTGTCAGGACCATAAAGCGGCACTCGCACTGAATTTTCAAAAAAAATTTCATGCTTGACACTCGGAGTTGTGATGGTCTAAGAAATGGTTTCGTTAGGTTAGATTAAGTTACTAATGCTGCCCTAATGCTACATGTCCCAAGGTTTAATTTTTTTAGAAAAAAAAAAGCACATCGGCTTGCCGGTGTGAGTGCCACACGTCCTCATAACTAACCTATGACAAATTAATATACATATATATATTATATACAGTCAGACACACACACACACACACACGTTTACTTATGTATAAAAGTTTATCCGGTGAGAGAAGATAACTGTTCACTACACACTCCCATTCCTAACACTTTCGTAAATAAAATTGTATCTGAATATTTTCTCTGATATCTCTTACCCCTTTACCTCGGCTTTGCATAAATAACGTATTTCTTTCAGTGGTAATAAATCGCGTCACGTTGGTATCCTTAAATTTCTGTTTTGATTAATGAACTTTCAGAATCATTAGATTCTTGATTAGTGTGGTTTAAAATTGAAAATAATTGTTAAAAGGTCTGTTAACTTTGCCCCTAAAGTCAACTTTATTTGAAGATAAGAATATCGATAAAAGTGTTTTGTTTATGATGATCCCCAAAAAAAAACGTATTTGCATATCAGACTCGAACCCAGAAAGATTTGTTGTGACGTTCGTTCTTCATGAACCGACAATGGCAATTTCATTAATCCAACTCATTACACATGACACGTAGATTGCAATATGGTTGCAAGATAGTCGACGAGTATTTTTTATTGTACTTTACGACCGCAGCGCGAGAATTCACTTTTTAATCGAGATAAATTACTTTATTGCAAATCTGAAAATATCAGCTTCTATTTGAGTATATCGAAGATAATTCTTTCTATTTCTTCTTGTATTATATGGAAATGTAAAATAACGTCCAATATTAATGGACAAACTAATTCCAATTTGACACAATTATTCTTTCACTTAACAACAGATAGAACAATGTTTGTTTCACAAGTCCTGTCTACCGTGATATCAATTGAGGAAACGGGCATTCAGGAAACAGCAAATTCTTATAATATCTTTGAGAATAGCTGTACATACAATCGAGCCATAATGTGGCTCCTTCAAAGGAATGCGAAGAGGTTATTCCCGGTAGAACGGGATTCATTGAGGAATGTGGATTGCTACAAACAAATAAGAAACCGAATATCAGCATTAAGCACATAGTAGGCTATTTATAAACCAAAAACTTACAAATATGTCTGTAGATAACGAGTAGATATTTCCATATAAGAAATCGCGGCATTACTTTTAAAAAAGCACTCAACATTCTTTACTGTCCAATGTAAAAGTTACCGGACTTGTAAACCAATGCAAATCTTTTAATAGATATATCCTGAGATCACAAAATTATTCGGTTTCCTTGTTAAAATGCTGTTAGTAGTAGAAGAATCAGTAACAGTTGACAGAGTAAATTCCCAAAACTTATCGAGTAACGTAACGATCCTTGCTTTACGAGGCGGATATAATATATTTATTATACTCAAATATACCTATATATAAAAGCATTAATTTTGTCACCTGATAGCAAAAAAATTTATTCTATTTTAAACATGGAGATTAAGATAAACGATTCCAGTTCCGGAACTCTGTACCAGTACCGGGTGCTACACGTGTGCTAGAAAGATTGAAATACCCTTTGACGACCACGTGCAATGGGTGGGGGGGATCCTAAAAATTTCATACAAACAGACCACTGTGAGATTAATCAACAAATAATCATGGAGATACGCATGTTTGCACCTACATATATTCTAAATATTAGACGCACGAGCCTAGATTCCTGAAATTCTCAGAATGAATTAAGAGAGAAGTGTCGAGAGAATATCCTATTTGAGGTGACCTTAGATCTACGGAAAATAAGTCCTGGTATAAGAGGCATGTTCGCGTCTATTCATATTTATATGAGACAGTCCCGACCACCAAGAAAATTAGATGGCGCGTAACGGTATGTGCCTATGGGCTATACGTAATGGGACGAGTGGCTAAGGCCTCCTCCCCACGTCATCAGTAAACCTGTGAACGTCTCTACGCGCTTGATTAAAGAAGTCTAATTGTAAGTGATCGCAATACAAATTAGAATAATGGAGAGTGGAGGAGACGTACATGCGCGCATTACGTATATAGTATGGTTTATCAGGTAAATAATGAATTCGTTTATCTCAAGTCGTGAATCTAAAATGAAAATCGTATGTCAAGCCGGCAGCTAATGCGACACGAATTGGATCTTTGCCAATCGTTAAAAACCGGTCTAGTTGTTCAAATCGGCCACTTAGTAAGGATTATGGCGTCGCACAATTTTTTTTTCAATAAAAAATTACCAATACAGCGCACACATGTACGAAGCATTTCGAATGAAACGCACAATCAAGGTGCTCGAAGGCACGACGCGTTTTTAGTTCACGAATTCAATGAATATTAGACAGCCTGTCACTGGTAGTGTACGCATACGAACTCATGTATCCATTGTGCCCACGTCCAAGATGAGTCACTCGTGTGTACATACACAGGAGCGTCGCTGCTGTGCTGCGCTCGCTGGTACGGAAACTGCTAAAAATTCTAATCAAGGGTG